GGCGCTCATCTATTACCGTCCCTGTTTTGATTTCAGCAAATCAGTTCGCGCGAACGCTCGGGGTAGGGGTGGGTTTAGGTTAAAAAATGTATAACTATCTGTATATAAAAACAATCGAAGTCTATGTAATGTCCCCATTTAGATAGCTAAGTAAACGCGCGCGCGTGTGCGTGTGTGTGTGTGTGTGTGTGTGTGTAAAATAGTATATCAGTCTGGCGAGTAAACAAAAAAATTTACTAGCCAAGGGCGATTATATTGCCAAGGTGTGCGTAGAGGGTTGATTATAGTAATTTGTTTAATTTTTATAATTTAATAAAACAAAAAATTGTTAGCAACAACAACAACAATAATAATAATAATAATATATTTTTTTTTTTTTCTCCCACCTGTTTTATCATCCAGCAGGTGAAAACTGTGCATCCGATCACTTAGTGAAGTAACTAGTCATGATGCATGAGAGAGCTGAGGCTCATAATCAAACACCAATATGAGCTCATATGTTCATGTGGAATTATTGATGAAGTCTTAAGATGGATCATCGTTCAGATATGGAGATATGGCTGTACACATGATAAATTACACTCGTTCTCACAGCGATAGTGTTTTCCCAGAATGAACTGTCTGAACGCCCTCGGATGCTCTGTAGTTATTAATACTCATCACCGCAATGAAATCACATCCGGCCTTCAGACTGGATCTTTATTTCAAGGCTGTAATGAAGGCAGGAGCTCTGTTTAAAACAGCTTCATTAGGATCCTTGTCCACACACATCTTGATGTTCTGATGCAGCAGAACTGAAGACTAAACGTCCGGGAAACTGTAACCGTGTTCCTGCAGCTCTGTGTTGTTCAGCGGTGTCCGTATTCCAGACGGATATTGATCTTCTTTCATCCTGCAGATTCGTCCCACGGCGTTCAGCTGACCCTGCTTTTGTCCTGTTATCTCTCTTCATCTTCATCTTTGTCTCAGTCCTGTCGATTATTCCAGGTGACCGTGTTGGGTTTTATGGATCTATTTGCTGTCAACATCTATCAGAGTCGACTCACAACAATAGGGCTGGGTTATTGAACTACAAATGGGTTTAATTTGATTAATTTATATTAATTGTTTATATCATTGCCCAATATATACAGTACAGTAGTTATATTTAATAAATGTTGTGTAGCAGTATTTCTGTCAGAGTGAATGATTTATATGTCCTTTGATAATTAATGAACATTGCTCAACATTTGAAAATTCCGAAACGAGACTGAATTTGTTACAATGTTGCATTTTCTTCTTAGTTCAGTTCGCTTTCACAAGGCAATATTGCAAAGCGTGCCAAACTTGTGAGGTTTTACGAGCGTGTGTGTACGCCTCAGATGTGTTTGTGCATCGATTGTCCGTCTATCAGACGCTGCTCTTCATCAATACTCCACACGGAGAGCGTGAAGCTCGGATTGATCCGATGGTACTGATGCTGCTGAACAGACTGAGATGATATCGAACTGCATAAAATCACAGTATACACTACCGGTCAAAAGTTTGGGATCAGAACGATTTTTAATGAGTTTCTTCTGTTCATCAAGGCTGCATTTATTTGATCAAAAATACAGGAAAAAAATGTAATATTGTGAAATATTATTATGATGTAAAATAAAATTTTTCTATTTTAATATACATTAAAATCTAATTTATTTCTGTGATGCAGCGCTGAATTTTCAGCATCATTACTCCAGTCTTCAGTGTCAAAAAAATATTTGGCAGCACAACTGTTGCCAACATTGATAATTCTAATAATAAATCAGCATATTAGAATGATTTCTGAAGATCATGTGACACTGAAGACTGGCGTAATGATGCTGAAAATTCAGCGCTGCATCACAGAAATAAATTACATTTTAATGTATATTAAAATAGAAACCATTATTTTATATTGTAATAACATTTTGCAAGATTACTGTTTTTTTCTGTATTTTTGATCAAATAAATGCAGCCTTGATGAGCAGAAGAGACTTCTTTAAACACATTACAAGTCTTACTGATCCCAAACTTTTGACCAGTAGTGTATATACGGCGAATGCTTTATATGAGGAAGATGGGAATAAATAACACATATACTGGATCCTATTCAGCTCGACTGACGCGTGTGATGTGATGGATCCGGTTGATTTGGGTTTTAAATGATATATCGCTTCGCAGTTGTGTTTTGTGTGTGATTGGTGATTCTTACCCATGAATCTGTGTTTCCGCAGCTGTTCCTGTTCCAGTTACTGAGGGGTTTGTCTTACACCCATCAGCGCTACATCCTTCACCGGGACCTGAAACCACAGAACCTGCTCATCAGCGACACCGGAGAACTCAAACTGGCCGACTTCGGTGAGAAACCCGCTGCTGAACACAGACTCAACAATCTAGTCACATTGGGTCTCGTTAACTAACAACTACACGGATCATTCATAGGATAAACACTTTTTAATTGCATATGTTTACCAATTTAAATTAAATATGAATAGTTTGTTTAAAACTAACTCTGACAGATATATTGATAAACTATACTGATAAAAAATGTATATAACATTAATAAATTAATAAATATTTAAATATTATAAAATATTTTTGTAAATATTAATATTTAAATTTTTCTTTAGCAATTACATTTTTTTTCAGCCATTGGGAGGCAATAATTACATTTATTTTATTTTATTGTATTAATTTATATTATTTATATGTCATCGCCCAATATATATAATTACGTTTAATAAATATGACTGTGTGTATATATATATATATATATATATTATATATTTTTTGTGTGTGTGTGTGTGTGCTTTTCTCAGTCGGAGACTATATAATATATTTTTTGTGTGTGTGTGTGTGTGTGTGTGTATTTATATTGTATATGAATATTTATTTCAGAGTAAACTATTTATATTTGAGTTGATAAATGAAATAGATAAATATTAATATGTAATAAATAACATTTAAATAAGAATCAGGTTAAAATATTTATTTATTTTAGATTGTTTATTATTTTTTTATCAAAGTTATATATAAATACTTGTGTAAGAGCAGGTTTTAAACTGATAAACAATTTATATTGAACTTAAATGGCTAAACAAATAAATAATTATACGTATATACATAAATATATATATATATATATATATACACACACACACACACACACACACCAAAATCTCTCTCATTGGTTGTTTTTAAACCACATTTCAGACTGAGGCTTTTCAAGTAATTTGGTTGTAATTAGGGATATAGCTTTTTTTTTAAATCAGTATTTTTTTTTCTTTTTGTTTCAGTTTTCAACCTTTAGAATATTTAATACATATCTGGATATTTATGTATTTGCTCTGAAATAGCTTAAAATTATGTTTTTGTTGTTCAGTCATTAATGTCAAGAAACGTAAACTCAATTCAAGTAGGAAAATACAGTAATAATCTAGTGAAAATAAGCAAGGCATGTAGTAATCGTCATTAAAACATCTGGCTGTATTGTTATGGTGTTTGGTTTTGGGCTTCCTGCTCTTCCTCGAGTCATTGACATGTTCATATCGATCATTTAGATGTGACTGTTTTGACTGAATGAATCACTGCTACAGATACTGAACAAGCACTGGTGCTTTGGTCTTTATTTCAGCAGCAGTTTGGTTCTGTCGTGCCAGTGTGTGTGTGTGTGTGTGTGTGTGTGTGTGTGTGTCGTATCACCATATGTCCAGTCTGCTGTCACAAGGGCATTATGGGTAGACACAGACACACATCACTGCTTTCAGTGCTTTCCAGAGACACTTGAGAGCGAACAGGCCTGTTGTGAGTCTGGATCAGCAGCTAAACACACGAGACTCACGTGTTTCACCAGCAGCTGAAGAGCCATTAGTGAGAGGAGAACGAGCTGGAACGGCAGGATGGACACAAGTGACCCGTTACTGATAGTTAAACTGGTTATAGTTAAACTGGTTATAGTTTGGTTCACCTTTAGCTGGCTGTTTACTGAAATCACAACAAAAGACAGTGTTGTCCACCTGCTCCCATAAAGCATTATGTCTGCTCTCTCTCTGCTTTGAATATTTATCATAAACTTAAAATATATTATTTAAGAAATTATATATATATATATATATATATATATATATATACACACATACACACATTTTT